TGTGCATGTAAAAGAAGACAGTTTGACAGGTTCCAAACATCTAAAAAAGTTCTAAGACTAGGTCATATTCTACCATGCAAACACACACAACAAAATGTTCTTTTTTCCTCTACTTTAGCAAGGACATGAAGTTGAAGGAAGTGCAAAGCAACTTGTTTCTGACATTTTAAATGTGTTGTTTGCTAGTAAATGCTTCTAATTCCTTTTAGACAAAAGCTTTGATTGATAAACTCCAAAAACTTGTGTCATCAGAGGGCAGATTTAAGAATCTGAGAGAAGCTCTGAAAAAGTAAGTGTGTCATTTTGTGATTCTTACTTTTCTAAAAAAAGAAAAAATTTAAAGGCCATTGCAGACAAAACTTTTCCAAAAAAAATTTTTAAAAAAAATGAAAAGAAGTCTGCTTGCCATTATTTATGTTATAAGTATATTGGAAGCAAATGAATAACACTTCATCAAGAACACGACATTAAACCATAATTGTGGCCTAGGATTTGCTAAATAATATTTTTATTGTTCATTAAGGACACGATGGTCAGTTTGCAGTTATCATCACCTCTTTCCAGAAGAGGAGACAGAGGAACAAAAAGGGAAAGAGATCTACCTAAGGTCACACAGCAAGCAAATGTAAGAGCTAGGATTAGAGCTTAGAAACACTGACATGTTAAATTCACTAAGCACTTGTCTTAACGTGGTGACTCAATTGATTGAAAGGGAATAAGTAAAGCCTGTTATGTTTCTAAAGTTGGGTTTCCTGGTATCCACGTTGGCACGAATGATTTTGACTTCATCTTAATTATCATTATGCCAAATGACAGACAGAAGACAATTTGCAGGTAGCACTTTTTGTATATCTGCCATGTTTGGCATGTTACAATAAAACCAAGAAAGCACACCCAATGGTCACTGTGAAGAGGAGAAACAGAGTCTCCATCAAATTATGTTAGAACTCCTAAAGAGACAGTCTGGTCATTGATTGTGTTTTCTCAATGTGGCTGTATTAAACTCTGTTCCAAGTCAATGTGACATGCTGACTTTGTTATTTTCAGTGAGTGTTGCCTTCTCCACTCATTAATCAAGTGCTCTCTTCGGGTAATTCCATTCGGTCTCTGTATTGATTTCCATTTCCCATACAGTCACACTGTGTGTTACATAATCACCTGTTGACTGAACAGCATTAGAACTGTGGATGCATTTCCTTAGACACCTTTGAGTCAAGCCCATGCTCAGTGTCCCATCGGAGCACATTTGTGCTGCCCACCCTGCCCTTCATCTGAAAACTCAATGGCCAAAACACTTGCTATGGTGTCCCCAGAGACATTTTATTCACCCTCAAGACCAAACATGGAGACCAGTCGATGCCTTTGGCCCTTTAATAACCAGGGTACAGAGGTCAACTGAAAGAAGTACTGATGAATTTCCTTTCCTGACTCCAAGAGCCTCCTCCTGTTCTTCTTGTGTCGTCCTGCTGTCCTTCAGTCCGTCTTTCACCAGCTCAATGTATCATTGGCTTGATCATCCCCACTTTTATGTCCTTTGGCAGATGTTCTATCCATCTGTGCTGTTAAATCTTCTCTTCAGTCATTGTCCCTGGGAGACATCACAATATTTTTTTCCTATTCCATGGGCCAGTGCTTTGCCTTGGGCTCTCACATTATTCATTCACAAACTTGTCTGTCTTGCAGAAAAGCCTCTTCACCTCAGCTTCATCAACATTTATCTCCTTTCCTGTTTATAGTATCCTTCCTTATTTGCATCCTCAGTTTCTCATTTTGTACCACAATGCCTATCATTGCTGGTTTTCCCTTTCTGGTTAAATTAGCAAGTATCTCTTTCCTGTTCTCTCCAGATGACCAAGGCATAGATTGTGACTTTTTTTTTCCTCTTCAGAAAGGGAATGTTTGGTTCTAGGCTTTTAATTTTCTTAGAAATAAAATTCCAGGAGTCAAGTTCATTATAAAATCATAGTCTTAGCCTTGTGGTATGGATCTAACTAAATTAAAAGAAAACAGTAACAATAGAACATTGTAGTAACAGCACTTTTCCCCTCAAGACTTTGTATTTTAATACACATTTTATCCTTTGCATGCATCAATACAAGGTAGGCCTGGGCAGATATCCCTGTCTTAAGGGGGGGTGGGAGGGAAGAGGATATGGAGCACAGAGAGATTAAGTGACTTGCTTAATATTCCATGGTTGAAGACTCCTGAAGAATCCAGGCCTCCTGACTCTTCATGGAGTGTTCTATCTAAACTGTGCTGCCTAAACTTCTGTTATGACTCTTTCTACCTGCAGTGAATAAACACTACTTTATGAGTGAAATAATAAAAAAAAATCCTGCCATTAATGGAATAGTTAAGCATGAAAGTTTTATGAGATGAATAAATTCTCAGACCCAGATTACAAACTAAAATTCAGTGAGAATTTTTTTCCAAAATTTCTCCTCATTTGTACCTATCCCAAAATGTCTAATACCCCAGACAGATTTACTTCTTTTGAATTCTCATGTTCTTTCATAGTAGATGTTCTAAGAGTCAGTTTTAGGGCCCATATAGATTTTTTTTAATTTATAATTTGTGATAGATTCACCCTTTGCCTGACAGAAGAGGCCTTTCACGATCATTCTCCCCAGTGAACAAATCCTTTCCAGAATATATCATAATGTTTTATTTACTTCAATATTGATTCAGATCCTTCATGGCACACCTTCAAAGTACCAGTTTATTGGTGATTCGTCTACTCCAGTTACTCCCAAGCACTCCAGCAACCCCTCAGCAGTTATACATGTGTTTCAGCATTTTTAATTGATTATGTATCTATTTTCCATGTTATTTATAATCACGTGTGTCCTTGTATATGTTCTTCTCCTGTTTCACTAGTTATAATGTAGCCTCCTGAAGACTTGTTTTGTAATACCTCAAAGTCTCCAGCAGAGGGTCTGGCATTCAACTGGAGCTCAAAATAGTTTGATGATGTAAGACACCTGGCAGATTCCTATATCCATCCTATTACCATATCTGGACACTGTCCCCATAATAGAACAAACCAGCTCTCCCAAACATAAATCCAGCTGTTATCTTGCTTCTGATATACATGAACCACATCAAGCCCTTGATCCTGCTGTATGGTTTTCAAACACTTAAGTGGATAGGGAACCCCATATGACCTTCAGAGAGATTCTCCAATTTCTAATCATTCATATTCAGTCTGGACTCGTTTTACCCTCTGATCTTTTTCTGTCTGAGAGTTCTGGGCAGCAAAAGAAAAGAAAGACTCTACTGAAATTTCAGGATTTATTATGACTGAGAAATGGGAAGTAGGGGGTGGCAATATAAGATCTTCAAGATACCATTTGCAGGCATGTAAATGTATCATTGCTGCGACCCTTCAAAACCTCCCTCTAGGTATTATTAGGGCAAAATTCTTCTCCAAGCATTCGTGTGTTTTGTTTATTTCTGTTTTGGAGCCACAAGCAGACATAGAGTGCTAATGAAGTAAATGAGAGCACCTCACATTTACATAGCACTTGATGGCTTTTGTTGTGATTTCTATACAATGATTATAGAATTTTAAAGTGAAGAGAGACCTTTGAAATCATTTCGTCTGCCCTTGCATTTGAATGCACGGTATGGTGGAAAGAGCACTGATTTGGAATAAGAGGATCTGGGTTAAAACCTTACTTCTTACAAACTTGTGTGACTTTGGGCAAATCACTTAATTTCTCTGGGCCTCAGTTTCCTTATCTGTAAGATGGGGGGAGTCAGCCTAGATTACTTCCAAAGTCTTTTCCAGTTGGAAATGCTATAATTCTCCTTCCCAGATGAAGGAACTGAGTCATAGAGAAGTGAAAGAACTTGCCCAAGGTCATACAGATAGAATTAGGACAGGAAGCCAAGTCTCTTGGCTGCTCGTCCAGTGAGCTTTCCACTCAATTACTACCTCCACTACTGCCTGCCTCTCTCATGATGAGCCAGGAAATCTAGTTTCAAGTGGCTGTTGGCAAGCTATGCAATTGACAGGAAAATGCTTTTAATGAAAGGGTAAAGTTAGCAGGGGTAAGCTGGTAACGAGTCTAGACTGTATTATGTAATTGTATGTGTGACGTTTCCATTGTACTTTGCTTCTTTTCAGTTTCTTTCCACAAGTGCTCCACACTGTGCTGAATGAATAGGATTCAAATCACTTTTTAAAACTGGAAAAGTGCCTCCTTCTTTCCATTAGCCTGTGTGTTTGCCTCTTTACTATCCCCTGGGGATCTTATTGTACATCCTAATTATTATTTTCTCTCCAATTGTCTGTGTCATGTTGTGCTTTGGCTGCCATTATGCTAAGCCTTGGTTTGTATGCTAAGTTGGCAAGAAGGATGCAGGGTGCTTGCAGGAGTTCTATTGAATAAACATTTAATGATATGCTGAAAGTCTAAAAATAAACAAAGTTTACATCATCATCATAATAACTTTATATTCACCCAGGATAGACAGATAGATATCGATGATAGATAAGTAGATGATATATGGATGATTGGTTGATAGATATAGATGATAAATAAATAGATGAAACATAGATGATTGATAGATAGAGATGATAAATAGAAGATACATTGGTACATAGAGCATTTGTGAATAGCTTACAATGTACCAGGCCATCAAAAAAAACTCAAAAGTATTTGGTAGTCCTCCTGACACTTCCTTTTAATATGGAAACAATAATAATCCCTATTTTACAAAAGAAGGGGTCAATTTAAAAGACAGAAACATCATGTGACATGCTTCAGCATTTTAGTACCCACCTAAGTCCTAATCTATTAGCTTTTTGACCAACTGATAACAAGGAGATCCCAAGAAGCAAGCAGTTCCTAGTTTGAATTCTATGAAGAGTTCAAAGACAGCAAAAAGAAAAAATACACTATATACAACCCTAGGTGAAGAGCACTGAGCTCTGAGGGTGTGGGGAAATGTTTAAAAAGCAACAAAAGACACCACCCCTAACACCAGTAATGGAGTAAGACACAAAAATAAAAATACGTATTTCTATCAATACAAGTAACAAAATCATGCCCATGACAGAGTCCACTTAATCATATGTAAATAAATAGGAATGGAAGATTCCAAAGGCATTTTGGGACTGGAACATGGTTAATCAGGTGAGGCTGGTCTGGAAGGATTTGGTTTTCAAAAAAGTGAGTCTTTGGTGGAATTTTGATGGAGGGAAGGGAAATTTGGGTAGAAAAAGTGAGATGGTTAATGAGTAAGAAGCAAGAGGCAAAGAGGGAACAGAGAAGTGTTTGCTTACTAGGCCAATAAAAGCAGGCCTGGGTACAGTGCCAAAGTATTTGAGATTAAAGAAAAGCAATTTCTAGAATGTCTTATAGGTCATGGTGGTGTTATTACTTTGATTGAAAAGCCGGAGAAAATTGAAATTGCCAAATCCCAAGGGCCTTACTAACATCATCTAACTAACTCATTGCCACAAAAGCCGATTATACAAGGAAGTTTATCCCTATTTTACTGATGGGAAAACTGAGGCCTCTATGAGGAAAGAGATTTGCCTCAGATTACTTAACAGGCAAATAAGTGCCAAACCCTAAATTTGAAGCCTGACTGTATATACCAGAGTTTATACAAATTCTCTCTGATTCAAAAAAAAAAAAACCACACACACAGATGAGTAAACCTAATGACATTATTTTAAAAGAGAGAACACAAAAGTGCATGCAAGGCAGACATAGCCCCGGGGGGGTTGTGTTTGTGTGTGTGTGTGTGTGTGTGTGTGTGTGTGTGTGTGTTAATGAAAAACCTTTCTTATACCATTTGCTTTGAAGTTGTGACCCACCTTGTGTTCCATATCTTGGAATGTACCTCACTGATTTGGCATTCATAGAAGAAGGAACACCCAATTATACGGAGGATGGCCTGGTAAACTTCTCCAAAATGAGGATGGTGAGTTTCTAATGCTTATTTCTAAGGAAAGTAAAGAGGTGAGAGCCAGGGGAGGGAGGGAGGTGTTGATTCTAAAAGTGGGACATACGTCCTGGCCTTTTGCAGAATGACATGCAGCTTACTGACATGAACAACTCCCAACTGATCACCAGTGGAGGGAGAAGAAGAGTTCAGCTGTAGATGGTTGGTCACAGAATCAGGAAAAGACGGGCAAAGCCTTCTGAATCTATGGTTAATCATTATAGCTCAGCAAAAAACCATGGGTCCTCTACAAGTATCTCCCAGTTGCAGAAAGAAAACTTCACAAGCAAACTAAGACTCATGAGCTATTTAAAACTGATCTCCATACAATTTTTTCAATATGACAAAAGCTATTTCATCACCTTTGGGAATAATCAGTTTTAATTTTGTTAATTTAATAAGTCAGAAGAACAAAGTAGTGTTTATTATTCTGTAACCACCATCTTTAAAACCTATGAAAATATTCTATTCAATTCAACAAACATTTATTCAATAGCCTACTATGTGCAAGGCACTATGGGGCTTAGCATAAGTCAAAGATAAAATGAAAGTCTCTACCCACAAGGAGCTTACATTATATTTGGAGAAAACAGTATATGAGTAGCTAAGTATGTGCAAAACATAAAGTAAATACAAAGCAATTTGGACTGAGGGAGAAATATCTCTAACCACAGGGGAGATCAGGAAATCCCTTTTATCACATTCCCTATCACATTCCCAAGTGTTGTTTGGGAATATAATACACTATCAATGTGTTATGAACATATACTTTATACAAATCAATTTTTAAATGAATAGCTGACACCTAGTATCCCCAAAATACACTGTAGCCATAGAATTCCATTTCAGTAATACTAAATAAAACCAATATAATGTCCTATCAAGCTCATTAAAATGAAGTTTTTGCCTCTATATAGAACATTAACATACTTATATGGATTTAACAAGTGGTGCATTTCCCTCAGAAGCAAGCTACGAGTCCAAAGAACACCATTACCTGATATAATCTTCAAAGAAATGAAATGAATTTCAAATACTTTTGTGTTACATAGGCTGACATCCAACTTAGCTGTTGAACTCTATCTTAATTTTTTTTTGCAATAATATAGCAAAAGGTCTTTTTTCAAAAATTCTTTTTATTGTTATACAGATATCCCATATTATCAGAGAGATTCGTCAATTTCAACAAACAGCTTACAAAATAGAACATCAAGCAAAGGTATGTTTTAATGAGTTCCAGTTGTGGGTAAGGGAAGGGGAAAGTTGCTAACATGACATGGTGACTACAAGGACAGCCTTGGATTCAAAAGGATTTGAATTCAACTCTTTCCCCCTAATAAGTACCAACTATGTGATCATGAGCAAGTAATTAACCTCTCAGTGTCTCAGACAACTAAGACTGTAAGTTACAAGTGAGTGTCTCACCTGAATTGGTGTTCTTATACTGATGAAATCACAGGTTAGGTATACATAGGTGTGTGTATGTATGTATGTATATACATATATATATTTCATATATATATTTTTTAATATATATTTATCTTTAAAGTTACACCTTAGTCAATAACTTCAGGAATCAGTTGCCATACACAACAGTAGCTGTGAAAATAAATCCTAGCCCAAACTCAAATAACATTAGGCCTTCAAGAAAATGAAAACCTTACCTGGCAGGAAACCAACCCATAGGAACATTCTAAAATGTTTTTTTTTAATTTGATTTTTTCTGTGTTCTACTTTTCTGAGAAATGAACAGATGACAAGGAAAAAGTTTAATAGGTTTTACTTAAAAGTGCAATTTCTGTGGTCAGTGCTAATTCACCCTTTCCAACAGAATGATATCCCAAGTCAACTTAATTCACTTCCAAAAGCATGTATTAAGCCAGGTATCATGCTATACACTGGAAATGCAAACATGGAAAGAAAATGGGTCCTAGCCTCAAGTTTACATTGTAGTGTGGGAGTGCAATTTATAGAGACAAGTAAGCATACAAAATACACAAATTAACTACAAAATAATATTGGGCCAGGGAAGGAGTAGGGGGAGATTCATAATCAGGGCAATGAGGAAAGGCCTTTTCTGAGGGGTGGCATTTGAGCACAGTCTTGACCCAGAAGCCCTGCAAGTTGTTAAATTACCTTAAATTAAATTATCTTCCATATACTCTCCTTACATAAGTAGAAAGTGCATTACTTCATCTTCGAAAGGTTTTGAACAATAAGGGTTGAAACAAAAAGGGTTTTCCAATTCAACCTCAGTTCAAAAGTTCAATCAACAGATCATTCCAAAGCTCACAGTTATTCAAGTTATACCATATCTACTTTTCCTTTGTCTTCCCTATTTGTCTGGTTTTTCATATAAATTTGTGTTTGTGGGTGAACTCTGATTACATTTTTTGCTCTGGGTTGGTGCCTGTGCAATTAGAGTATTGTCTATTTTATTACTAATGTCTCCATTAGGGAAGAATTATTAACAAATTCATTCATTAAGTTCATATTTGCATTTTAAAATAAATCATGAACATTTATTAGCTTAAGTAATCAAATCAAATTAAAAATCAACAAATCATAATTGGGTTACATATAATGCAGTGTGCTGAACACTAAGAACCTATATTACATTAGTAGATATTCATATACAACAATGAGCTGAACCTAAGCCCTTGCTTAGGGAATTTCAACATATCTGTGGAGCTTCAAACACATTGTCCTCTACTCATAGCCAATAATGGATTTAACAAAAAAAGAAGAAAAGCTAATAAAGTCAACAGTTAGATCTGAGCATTGAAACCACTAACTGCCTCTAATCTGGTTATATGGCTCTCTAATTCCTGGAGTGTTTAAGATTTCAGTGGTTATTCAGTGGAGAATCACCATAATTCTGATCTGGCTTACCCAATAATGGAAAGGGTTATCCTCTCACTACCCATAAAAATACCTGCATTCCTGCTAGATTTTGCTTCTCTTAAGAACTTTTATATAAATACTTTAATTGTATAGACTTTTTATTTTTTTTTAAATAATTGGATGAATTTAAGTTGTCATGGCTTGATAGCATCTCAGGACACCTAAAATGTAGCACATGCCGTGGGGTGATTATTCCAAATCCCTACTTCCAGGGGTGCATTGGAAGGGTTAGCCTGCCAAAGTGTTTCCTCTAAAGGATTATTAGTCAATATAAATTAGTCAGTAGACTTAATTAGCCCTTTAGAAAGAGATATTTACTAAGGTGCTATAGTAATAACAGTAATAACAAACATCTCCCAAAATGTGCCACACTCAGCAACCAGGACATAGAGTTCCAGGGTGAAGTGGGCATGACACATGTGGCAAAGGGCTTACCTACAACTGGAAGTCCATTTCTTCAATTAGTGGGATCCTCATGAAGTTTCCCTTAGTCATGCTGTAGCTGTCTTCTGGGCCCCTTGCAGAGTTTTAAAGCTGCCTTTCTTCAGTGTGTCTGGTTTGTCCTTGGCTCCTGAGAGTTTGTCCTTGGCCCACTGCCACCAGTCACTGACGTTTCTGGAACATTCCCAGGATGATGATGAGAGGTCCAAATCTTCCAACCCTATGAAATTAATGAAGTCATCTTCTAGTCAAGTGATTCCCTCTCAGAGTATTGACCAGATTGCCCTTTGCTCTAGCCTGACAGATGCTTAAATGCATCTGAATTGGCTTGCTATTTTATAAAAAAATCCACAGGGTATGACCAAATTTCCTCAGCATTATTTCATTTCATACAATGGACTTCTTTAAGTTAATCTAATGCCTTTAATTAATTGATTGATTGATTGATTCAAGAGAGGGATTATCATCTGGTAAAGCTAATTACTTTTGGAGGTATTCGGTGACTAATTGATTCAGTCAAGAAGTCTGGGTGACTGCCACACTTACATTAGAAACTGGTAAAAATGTTTGCAGTCATTAGCTAATGTTTCTAAAAACTCACGGATAGTAAAAGTCCCTGAAGACTGAAAAGAGGCAAACATAAAACCAATATTTTTAAAAGACAATGAATAAGACCTATTTGTAGACCTATTTATCATTTTACTTGAATTAAAAGAAATTTTTTTTGTTTCCAAAAGATTACCACAAGATTTGGTGGGTCTCATTTTTTATTCCTTCCTATCTTTCCTTTGCCCATTTTCCACCCATCACAGGGACTGGCACTTCAAAATTTCCCTTGTCCCTAGGTTCTGGGAGCAACAGCTCACATCTAACAGAACTGACTAAACCTTTCATAGGATCATAACATTTAACAGCTATAAGAGACCTTAAGGATCATTGAATCAAAAAAGCCTTCATTTTCAGGTGAGGGCAAGATAATTTTTTTTTAGGTTAAAAAGAAAAGTTGTGTGTAATCCCACAGCCAGTTAATGGCAGAACCAGAACCAGAATCCAGGACTTTTTGCAACATACCAGATTACCAGCTAGGAAGGAAGGAAGGAAGGAAGGAAGGAAGGAAGGAAGGAAGGAAGG